CTGGGAGGAAGGCAAACATCATACTGTCAGTGGATGATTTTGATTAGATGGGTCACGTATGAAACTAGCATTCCAGGCAAGGGTCTGTTGAAAAAGCAAGGTTTAAGGAAGGTATTTCTCAGCTCTGAGAGATCTAAAATGTTTTGCTGTCATCTTCCACACATCACACCTAATCAGAATTGTCCAGAGGGGCTGAGAGCTGAATGGAAGCATTTTTGTTCACTGATTACTGGGTTGTTGGGGGTTGTCTCTCTCTTGTGGGTTGTTCTGCTATATCTTTTAATTATGGAGGTCTGTCCTATGACTAGAAGGGGATTCAGACATTTTTAGGATTCGATTTTGCAAAACCAAAATATAACCAAATCAGAATCCCTCTGAAATACAGTGTGAGGTACCTGAATGAGCTCTTATTAAAATTTTGAACTCAATTACTGTTTCTGTGTAACTATGTTTTGATGCACTTTTAAAAGTAAAGCATGTTGAGGACACCATCTGTTTTGGAAAATAATGCAAAACCAGGCAGTGCTAACAGAGAAAATTAATAAAATGTAAATAAGGCTGATAGCTGATTTGCATGGTTTAAAACCATCTTTAGAAAGATAATTACCAAATATTTGGGGTTTATTTAAAATCATGAGATCATTAGCCAAATATGAAATCAGGTTACAGTTTTATAATGTGCTGATGTAATTATGAACAATATATTTAGATTATTCCTTCCTTCATAAATTTAAATATTACTGCTTAAGAGTCAAACAATAGGGAAAAGTTAGAATCTTTTCCATTAAAAGGCTTGTTAGCCTCCATACAGAGACATTCCCAATACATTCCTTTCACCCTCTTAACAGAAGTCTTTAAGTAAATAGCTGTAGGTGAGTGTTTGGAAAGCACTTGCAAAATGGAAAGTACTTTAGAGTTGGTAAACCTTGAACATTAATGGAGATGCTAACCATCAAAATTTGAATTTTTATCTTTTTTGCTGCTGAGAATCATCTTTATTTTTCCTGTCTAGGGCTAAAATTTCACTGAGATGTTCTCTCAGGGTGTATTTTAGATTGCATTTATGTCTTACAAGAGCAACAAACAATATTACAGCAGAGGCAGGCAGGACTGTTCTGATGTGCCTCTCCCAAAGGTAATCATTACTTCTGAAATCAGCACTTCTGTGTGCAAAAGTATGCTTCACATCAGCATCTAGGAAAGTTCACAGTCTTAATAAAATGATTAACACATAATTCTAGTTTTTGAGGGCAATTTTAAAATAACTCCTGTTTTAACTTTCTAGTCCTTTTAACTTTCTATTCCTTAGCCATTCCAAGTGTATTAGGCTATGGGGAAGATCCCTGGGAAATGGATGGTACACCTCCCTAAATTAAAATAAGGGTTGGTCAATACTATCGACTGCAAAGCCATTTCATTTTCCAGTCCTGACCAAGGAACACATTTTTATTGTCAGTTCACTCAACTATTGACTAACCCATCCATCTATAGAATGTGTTTTCTTTAAAAGCTTGAGATTAATTTAGCCCTAAATAACACAACAGGAAATTAAACACATTTTAAAAACATTTATGCTAAGAATACCATATCCAGGTGAATTCATCACAGCAGAAACACTCCAACTTGTCACCTTTCCAAGCAAACCACATCATTGAAGATCTATTGAAACAATTTTAAAATATGATGACAAGTTATTTTTACACCCCCTTCTCCCCCCATAAAAATGTAATTTTAGTCTCATCAACACAAAACAGAGCTGTAAAATTCACTTCCTTTATCGGCACAGGGAAGACTATTCCTGTACTTCATTTCTGACAAGAAAGGATTCCCTAATTCCATAACACTTTTCTGACTGACCCCTTCCAGCACTTAACTACAATCACACTTGCAAAGTTAATCCAGACAACTATCCCACATGCCTTTTCCCGAGAAGAAATAGTAAAACTTGCTTTGAAATCAGAAGGCCATGGTTTTGCAGGTGGACTCAACATCAAATTATCTTCACATATGCTGTGGGCATACCCATCTGATTCAATGTATATGACACTGCTGAATAAATATTTAGAAAGGAATGGAGCAGTCACAACACTCAAGTTTTTATAATGTAAAGTACAAGGTACAGGTAAATATTAGGGCTTTAAAAATATTAAACCAGCTGCAGGTGCTAACACTGTTCCTATTTTTTTACTGCATTAGGTAGATTCCTTGCCCATCATGAGGCAAGTACTCCTCTACTCCCGTAATACACTAGGGGTATTTTTGTTCAATACCGTCAGGATTTATTTTTTTAGTAGACAAAGCGAATACAGTTAGGAAACAGTTAAAGTCAAGTTTAAAATAAAGACTTGAGATCTATTATGAACTAATGTAGGATACTTTTTTTTTCTAAAATATAAGATTTTACCTATATCTATATATTTTTTTCCTGAAATAGAATAATTGTGATGTACACAAGCACAAGTCTGTAAGTAATCATGCAAATTGTTCACATGTGCAAATTGCTCCTAAGTACAAGATTTATTTAGAGGAAAAAAGCTGCTGTGTGTCATTACAGAATGTTTATAAGAGCAAAATATGGATTTGAAACTGCTAGAGGAATATTACTGTAAATTAGATACACTGAAGCGTGGCATTTTTCTTCTTTTCACTACATTATTCTCAGAGTATTTTGGGCAATCCTGAGACGAGTAACAGAACTGCAGAGGCTGTATTCCTGCAGTGTGGACAGGGGGGACAGAAAAAGGAAACAGAATTTCTCATCTTTATTGTGCACAGTTGAACAAAATTTTGCAAGAAGCAGTAAACAATACAGCAATGCACATTATTCTGTGCTATTCAGAGAGACAACCCAGCAAGATTTTCAGATCAGGAAGCGTGTCATTTTCTCTATTTCATTTCAGACCTAGAATAAATAAAACCTATGGCTGAGCGCAAACTGTTATGCCTTCACAATGCAAATACACTTTTTGTTCTATTATAGTGCTTGGCACATTGGTTTTCAGTTTGCAGTACTACAAATACCTTCTCATCCTAAAAATTCACCCACATGCTGGAGCACTGAGAAGAGACTGAAAGAGCTGCTGAAGGATCACCTCACCCAGTGTCTTTTATCAGAGGGTGCTCAGTGGAGTATGCCAGAGGATTTTAGGACTGTCACAGGAACCCACTATAGAATTACCTAGATTAACTCCAAAATCACTTTCCTCTGAAAGCAGCAATAGCTACTTTAGAGGCCCTGCTGCAGGTAAACTGGCAATTATTATTTAAAATCTTATTTTATGCTTGATTATGTTAGCAAATGTTCAATTTCATCTTCTACCTCATCACTCAGAATCACAAGATTGTTCTGCTACCTTTAACTTTCCATTTTTGTTAATTCTGAGAACACAAGTACAAACATTGCTATTATTTACCCCTCCTGAGTTCTCTAACTCCTCCATGAAAAAATATATTGTCCAATGAAACAGTGAACTAATGATCACACTAAAAATTGAAATATTTTGGACTTGCAATCTCTGCACTATCTTAGGCAAGGGTACCACCAGAGTGAAGGATTTTGATATATATTCTCAAGGGACTTACTTTTTAGCCCTAGAGGCTTAAGACATTCGGTCTAAAGGGAATCTAGATTAGCTACTGCATTTTTAACTTCAATTCATAGCATGGCACCAGTTTCCACCAGAACAAATAGTCTGTTATCTTTATTGTCTCAATAGGCTCACTTAAAACCAGATATCCTAGTCCTCAAGTGTTTTTTAGACTGAGTTTTGCACAGAAATGCACACACAGCAGGCTCCATTCCTGGTTTTAATGGAAACTTGGTTACACTGCTCTTTGTTATTTTCCCCAACTTTTATCCTGTTCTTTTACCAAAGTCTATTTATCATCTGTAATCACATTTTTCTTACACATCTGCTTTCCCCCTGTTCATGGATTTTAAATGCTTCTCATTTTTAAATAAAAGCTGAGACAGAAGCCTGGTTTCATTCTGTTTTGGGCAAAAGCTGCATTTTCTGCACATATTCCCACTACTAACTAGAGAGCCTAACTCCCTTTATTTCCTGGACACTATCTGCACAGTCATACACTGAAACACTGCTTCTCTCCTTCTCTTCTCCTCCTCTTCATGGGTTTAGAAAGCTACCACATAAAGGCCATGGTCCTTCAGCCTCAGAGGCCAAAGAGCAACCCAGTGCTAAAGTAAAATCTTTATTCCAATGGAAAGTGTATGGAAGGAAGGAGAAAAAAGGAGTCATAATCTTGTTTCTGTTCAGCGCTGATGCATGAAAGAACCATACAAAAAAAAAACAAAACCAAACCCAAAGGAAATTGTCAGTGAAAGACCTACAAAGTGTGTCCAAAATAAGCAAGTGGGGAAAATCCATAGAAAATCTTTCCATTATATTCACAGTCAAGGGTCTAATTTAAAGATCAGTTTTCTGGTCCTGTACTACAGTGCGTACAACTCACAGGTCCAACCATTTATGGGCCTGCACTGAGGCTTCCTAACATGATCCTCCCCGTTACCCTAGGCAACCTACAAGCAGAATGAAGTCCCTTTCCTCTTTCCTGAACCATGTTCTGGTTTCTAAATGAACGCCACAGTCCAGGAAGAAATAAATACGTCAGCTGCACATACTTACCATGGTTTATCTTCTCCCCTTCTTATTACCACCTCTGCCATGAAAATACAAAGGCAATCCTGCCTGTGGACATCTCCTGACACAGTAGGCTTTGGGAGGTCTTTTAAACACATGGAAAACAGAACTTTTGTGCCCATTTAAGCAGGTGCCACTGATCAACATGAAGGCAAATGATAATTCATCATTTGCCTGTACATGTATTAATTATCCAGCCACCAGAGAACTGTCCTCCTGTACAACCATCCTTCACATGGGTCCTGCTTAGGAATTTCTTACGCAAACATAGCTACAGTCTTCTGAAATTCTCCCATTCCAGGGATAATCCTGTATTTTTGACAAATATACAGGAAACATTAATTTGAGGAGTTGAGGTTGTTTTATTTTAACACCTAATACAATTCAAATTTAAAGGATTACTTGCACAAAAAAATAAACACATTTGGTATAAAAATTTATCATCACTTTAACACCTTTTTTCCTCTTACGGCCTGCTCCTTCTCTGGAGCAGAAACATATAAAGACTAATGGCACAAGTTTGTTTTATTCTACAGCATTTTTTTTGTTTTTACATACTCAAGTACCCTAGAGGACAACAGCCCGCTGTATACAAGAACCATTTTCTTCAGCCTGCTGAATTATGTTTCATAAAGAACCAAACCTATAAAGGCATTTTAAAAATCATTGTCTCTTTTTTTCCAGAAGCACTGACTTTTTGCACCATTTATATACAGAAGTGTAACATAACAGCTCTTGAGTACAGTACATGCAGCAGAATATATCTGTTGTATATAAAACATACATTTAAAATCTTGACTTACCGGAATTTTTGGAAGATTGAATAATTGTAGAATGCCCACTGCTTAGAGAAAATGGTTTGATAGTACAAATGTCTGCATATGCTGGCCAATGGAACAATCCAAGGCTCACTGGAATAGTATCTGTAGCACATCAATGTGCATAAATAATTTACTTACAATATTAAAACACAACTAGCAAAATCAATAGTTCAAGATGTTACAACTGCTATGTTAACCCTTAAGTGGTTGCAAGGAAGTGTGGTGAGGGTTCCTCCCCCTCCCAAGTCCTCTAGAAAACCTTTCATACATAATTTGTTTTCAAGATGAAGAAATTTATTTATGTCTACTGCCTCTTCTCTTCATTGCAGCCGTACACTGTGGACAGTACCATTTCCCTTTCGGTGCTTCTGTAAGTCCAACACATCCGTAGTGGAACCACTCAATAGGGCACTATAAAAACAGAGTTAAAGAAAAGGTTTGGGATTTGGCTTTTTTTTCTTTCCCCCCCTTCAAAACATGTATTATAAATACAATTCTATTAAAATGAAGTGTGAGTAAAAAGCACAGATTCTGCTTTTCACATAAAGTTACAGCTCAGAAGGAGAAGAGAGGAGGATATCGGTCCCTATCGTACACTCAATAGACTAAGGGTAGTGATAAAATTTCTAGAAGTCATACATAAGACTCACAGAGCACAAGAATGTTATGCTTTGAAATACTTAGTTTGACAACACTAAGTGACACAAAAGCTATCTCATCACTCACTTCTGTTTAAATGTGGTAACCCAGTAAATACATGAGTACATTCAACTGTTCTTTTAAAACTTTTTTTATTTTAAGAGGACAACTGACATTAGTGGTGACACAGCTAAAAGTTCCCAGAAATAATGGGCATTTTAAAGATGTCAGAGGTTCCCAGCAAAGGGTGAAGCCTTCTAAAAGAAACTGAACTGTGGTGACAGATGACACGTTTCCTGAAGAATGGTTCAACTCATATGCACGTTACTCTAAAAAACTGTACTCTAAAACCATCTCAAAAGTAAATCCTGCAACCAACAGTTACATGCACAAGCCTTTCATGAGCCTTTTGAGCTTTGTTACTTACATCTTGGTTATCACAGCCTACCATTTCACCATAGGACACCTAGTAAATAAGAAAAAAAATCCTATTACTAATTAAAAGCAATCGACATTTTCAAAGGGGTAAAGTTTAAGCTTCTTCCTTTGAGTTTTTCATTAACAGCAGTAAAACTATTTTGATTTTTCTCGTTACAAAACCCAAAGAACATCATGTTCACAGCAAACTGATTTTAATAATTTTTTAATACCCCCCCCCCCCCCCCAACTTCTGCATATTTCAGGTTGGATAAAAAAGATCAGCATTTAAAACCCAAACAAAGCACATTCTCGCCTAAACAACAGTGCTCAGTACATTATCAGCCCAGTTTTCAAGATTATGTCTGGTATTTCCCTTGCATACATGACAATTTCAAGCACCTTATTTGAAACTAGGCTAGAATTAGATGATCTTTGAGATCCCTTCCAACCCAAACAATTCTAGGATTCTATGAAACAAACACTTTCAAGTAAATTTCTATAAATTCTAAAAAAAGACAACACTCTTAAAAGTGTTCATAATAAGAACAAGCATTTTAAAATAAAAGTTTCTCATGTTGTCATTCAGTCTCTCAAGTTTCTGGATAGCTTTTACAAAACCTAATTGGCTGGGGTTTTTGTGAGGTTTGTTTGGTAATTTTTTAAGGAGAATAGGTGAGACCAGGCAAACTCCTGACTAACTTAAATTCTTAACTTAATTCACTGTAAACCTGTTCAATTTTTAATTTGATAACTCCTGATGTCTTTATTAGAAAATACAAAACTTTCCAGTATGTCATATTACTGTAAACCTTTCTTGGTTTTGGCTTCAACAGTTAATTATTCGTATCACCAGTAAGTAAATAAAAACAGACCAGAATTTCAAGACTGCAAACAGAATGGTTCTAAATCAGCAATCAGAGAAGGAAGTTCAACTATAGCAGTATATTTCAGGCTGGGGGCCATTCTTACCTGATTACATATGCAATAACGTGGCTCATTTGGATCATAGGTCCAGTCAACCTGGCTATTAGAATCAGACTCTGGTATTACTGCTGTTTGCTGTGATAGCTCTTGTGCCAGTGCAGATGAAGAAGAACATGATGATAGAGAGGAAGAAGAGGAAGACGATGATGACTGCTGACTTGAAGATTTGTTGTTGTTTCTAGGAAAGAGGGGGAAAAAAAAAAAAGAATAATTTAAATTTATCTCCTGCCAAATGAAAGAATCATTAACAAGTACTTTGTGGACTCTGAAATACTGCAGTATGTCAATGCCAAAGCATCACTCATTAACTTCATTCATTCAACAACTGCAAGAACTGAAGCGGACACGCTGAATGCTCTTTGGAAACAAGTCATCCCTGCTTACAAGTGCAAGACACACCGCTCTAATCAATGGAATATAACAGCTTTAAACTGTCCAATGGCTTTAATGAATGGTTTTCTTCACAAAATTTTCCATCAACAGCTTTGGTGTCAAGTCCCCATAAAAATTATGCTACCAATAAAACAGAAATTTACATACAAATAATGTTATGTATGATATATAACTTTTTTGAAGATGACCAATTCTATGTTAATCTGCACCCAAGCATCACCAAACACTCCATAGAAGAGTGCCAGAATACAAATTCTATGCTTCTGTTTACAGGTCATATATGACACCCAAGATATCCATAGAAGAAAAATGCTTCCAAGACAAAATTATTAACTGAGCTGTGAACATACTCAAATCTGTATGAAGAAAAAACCAAACCCCTACAAGTCACAAGGATGGGCAGACGTACAACTCAAGTACAAACTCAAGTACACCTAGTGACTGTTGTCACAATGTGTTATGACACTATGGTGTTTTAAACTGGTTTTAGACTTCATTTTCCCTGTCATAGATGTCAGCCATCAGAAACTGTAATTATTTGTGAAGTGGCAGGAAGCAGACCTTCAGGTTATTTCAAAACCAACTACGAGGCATTGCATGGCAATTCCCAACATTTGCCGTTAGGTCAAATCTCTCCAGAACACAGAAAAATGATGGAAGACACTAGACTATATCACAATTGAAAAATAAGTATCTTGATTGGCTTTAAAACCTTGGAGTGAGTTTGCTTAAAGAAAAGGAAGTGAGAGGACAAAACAAGAAAGACGTGAACAAAAAAAGGCCAGCAGACAATAACTACCTCCCCTTATTTAATATGAAGTATTTCCAATTCAGTCCATGACCTTTAAAAGACATTTTAGCCATCTTAAAAACTAATTGCAGTCAACAACTGAGAACACTTACTTGCTTTTTCTGCCACTTCGTGAATCTGTGGTTGATGAACTTAATGTCTGTGTTAATGTAGATGCCAGAGCTGATGATGAATACCCAGAGGAATCTCTGGATAACGAAAATTCTCTTCCAAGCTGAAAATCATTGTTCTTAAATGCTTCATAGCTGGCCTTTAGGCTGGATGTTCGTCTTCCTTCCTTCATCTAAAAGGAATACTGATACTGTATCAGATTACACCATGGAGCTCTTACAGAAGACAGACCATGTTGCTAACTGCTAATTATTTGTACAGGTTCATTAGTTACCCTGTTAACAAAATGATGTATAGTAAGTGGTAAAAAAGGGTAAGAATATCCCACAGGAAAAGCTAGAGAATAAGCTCTCCCCATTATGCAAATTTTACAGGATGAAGCTGTAGCATATAAATGAAAATGATGAGTACCGAACCACTGCAGCTGAAAGTGATCATGGGAATTCAGATTAAAAAAACCCAACAACAAAGCACCTGAACAAAAAAAAACCCCAAACACATTAGTCTTTCTTCTTAAACCAGTAGCAAATGGCAGAAGAACAATAAGGCATTGACATTACCTGTGCCGTGGCTTGCACTGCCTGAGCTGCTGCCATGGTAATTGCACCGGCCCCAGATCCTGAAGATAATGAGCCCAGGTTATATGATGCCAATGGTTGAGAAGAGTTTGTATTGTATGCATTGTTTGAAGAGGATGATGAATTACTGTTTCGACACCCTTGATGAACAGAACACATTTATGAAATTTAAAATGAAACTAAATTCCTTTGCATTTTAAGAAGAGTTATATACGACAACCAGTGAAAGAGCAGGAACTCCGTTTATGCACCAAAGCAGTCTGATCATTTGGGAAAAAAGTTTTAAGAAGCCATTTGACACAGCCAGTATTGGCTGAAGAAAAGAAGTTTATTCCCCCTTATCCTCATGCGCAGGGAGTCCTTTTAGAAAGGCAGTCCTCACTATCATACTCAGCTATCAAAGAACAGATGCCTATGTCTCTATAAACCAAATTTCCACTGAAACAATGCTGACTACTGTAACCATCAGGAAGAGAGAAGAATTTGATGGGACCCCTACACTGTTTCTGAAGTAAAACTTTTAACAATTTCAATTCTAAAAAATACAAACCACAGTTTTAATGCAACACAGATTTCCATGGCCATCTATAGACTGAGAGCTGCTCAAACATAATTACATTTTATTTGCTACCTCATGTGAAGTTCCTTCAAAATAAAAGTAACATGGGCGTGAGGGAGACTACCTAAAAGTGATGAACAGCACTAAACTCCAAAACAAAAGGTCATTTACTTACTATAACCTCTCATAATCTTTTATTTTCAGAAAAAAAAAAAAAATCAACTATGAAGCATCCCAATTTTGAAAATGGGCAGAAAGCTGTGTTTGGTTTTGGTTTTTTTCATTCATGACTCAAAGAATTCTCACCTCTTCTGAAACAGACAATGCAAAAACTTATTTTATTGTAGCCAATGCCACATCAGACCAACCCTTAAAAAAAAAAAAAACCAAAAGTGTGAATCCCCCACTTTGGAAATTGTTGCATATGTTTCTCTCTCCCAAAATAATAATGCATTAATCTCGTATTTCTACCACTAGCTGAATGAAACTGCACTGTATCTCCCTCCAAGCAGTGTAAATAAAAAGAAACAACCAACATGCAGCTGTTAAATGACAACAAAGCTGATGCACTTCATGGACAACACAGATGAGCAACAATAGCTGCTATTTCACATGTTATAAATGACTGAAAATCCCAGAAGAAAGAGGATGAGCCTCTGATTTCAAGAGACAGTAACTCACAAATACGACTGGATTTCTCCTGATTAAAAACCAAGACAACGAAGATTACCTGGCGTATTTTCTTTAGAAGCATCTGAAGTCAGGGTAGATAGAAGAGCTTCAGATTTAAACTTCTTTTCAGGAACATGATCTGTTGTACTATGGTGAGAAGATGGATTGTGTTTCCTTTCTAAATGAAAGAAATTAAGGGAACTTAAATGTAAAACCTTTTCAGCTTGAAAGTCAAACTGTAACTACATGTTTGTTAGTCTCAAAATACTTACTCTCTACTGGAGTGTGAGAATGAGCATGATGGTTATTCACAGGCTGTGATGGTGTATCCAGCTCCAAAGACCCTAAGAGGGAAGTAAAAAGGAGAGAAAAATTTCAGTTATCATTGGCGTAGTTTTGACTTTTAGATACTAAATGAATCTTTACAATATTAACCAAATCACTATGAAGTTATATTTATTTTAATCAGAAGGAGCACAGCTGGGGTTGAAACCCTTCCTGGAAGTAGAACCAGGAGCCAGTGAGATGAACAGTTGTAAAACAAAAATTGGTGCATGCTGCTGTCCAACTGTTGACGCAAAGAGAATAAACAACACCACTGCCCTCAACATGCCATGTATGAGCATAAGTTGCACACGTGGCAGTGATGGTTGGAAAATGCAACACCAAAAGTACTGACAATCTACACCAATATGAATTGAGAAGACGACTATAACAAGTAAACTATATTAATGAGGCACCTTGTCCCACTGAGCCAAAATACATAAGCACTAGCAATGTCTGAAAAGATGACCTAACATTCAACAGGGAGGGCTTTAGATCATCATCCAAGTTTCCATAACATTCAAAAATACAGAGCAACAATCACAAGCTAAAAAAAAAAAAAAAAAAAAAAAAGAAAAAAGGCAGGAGGGCACAAATATAAGTCTTCATCTAAAAATAAATTTTCTTGTAATATGAGGAGAGATTTTGACCATAAATTGCATGTAACAATATATAACAGTCTGCATATGAATCTTTGGCAGTAAGATTTTGAATAGCTGCAATACCTAGCAACGTACATTTATACAGAAGTCAATTCAAGAAACTCACATTCATTTTTCAAAATCTGTAGCTTCAACATTTCTTTACCTTTTTTCCAGTGACTTCAAAAAGCACATGACTGTACTACAAAAGCTTAAAGAAAATTATTCTCAAAGAGGTTCAAAGCATGAGGGGCTATTTTGGTTGAGCTAACATCAATCATGCTAGGAACTAGTCCAAAGGCTGCCCTCTGGCGGAACCTCCATAATATGTATTTAGTCTGAAAGCTAAAAATGCTTCTACTTTTCCCTTTAATAAAAAAATCCCAACAAACTACCTTAAAGAGGAAAGTCTGGTACGTTTCTATTTTGAGTTCTTGAACTCTACCTATCTACTCACCAAACACATAGCTAAACTGAAGATGGTATCACATCTTACAAATTCAGCTGGGATTCCAACTAAAATAAACTAGTCCTTTTCTGTAGTTTCCAGCTCACTAAAAGCACTTACTTTGCAGTTTTATTTTTGTGCCTGTTATTTGTAGTATGAATTAAAAATAAAATATACAAAAATTCCCATCTTTTATAACAGGGCAACACAAAAAAATAAAGAAAGAATAATTATTCCTAATCTCCGCAAGGGACTGAGGTTACTTTTCAGTGTCCTTGGGTATGAGAGCAGTCACTGCCTCTCAGCTCCATAATCATAGTAGTTACACCAACTTTGAAATTTATCACGATCACATTTGAAATTCATGTCTAAATGCTGATATGTACAGAAAGGATGGTTTCTTCTGCACTCAAGTCACTCAGGTCATCTCCAAGCATGTAGAAAAGAATGTCACCAGTAGTAGTCAGCATGGATTCACCAAGCGCAAGATAAATCTTGCTTGGCCAATCTAACAGCCTTTTATGATGATACAGCAAGATGGGTTGACGAGGGGAGCAGTGGATGTTACCTACCTTGACTTCAGCACAGCTTTCGACACTACCGTTAACATCCTTGTATGTAAGCTTAGGAAGTGCGGTTAGATGAATGGACAGTGAGGTGGATTTAGAACCGCCTGAATGGCAGAGTTCAGAAGGTTGTGACCAGCGGAGAAGAATCAAGTTGGAGGCCTGCAGTCAGTGGTGTTCACAGGGATCAGCACTGGGTCCAGTCTTACTCAACTTGTTCATCAATGACATGGATAAAGGGCTAAAGCATACCCTCAGGAAATTTGCTGATGATAACAAAGCTGGGGGGGGAGTGGCTGATACACCTGAAGGCTGTGCTGCCATTCAGCAGGACCCCTGATAAGCTGGAGAATTGGGTAGAGAGAAACTTAATGAGGTTCAACAAGAGTAGGGTACTGCATCTAGGGAGGAAGAACCCCAAGTACCAGTACAGACTGGGGGCTGACCTACTAGAAATCAGTTCAGCTGAGAAGGACCTGGGAGAACTGACAGATAATGCTGACCATGTGTCAGCAGTATACACTTGTGGCCAGGAGGACCAATAGTAATCTGGGGTGCATCAGGAGTGTGGCCAACAGGTCAAGGGAGGTAATCCTCCCTCCTCAGCCCTGGTGAGGCCACATCTGGAGTACTGTGTCCAGTTCTGGGCTCCTCAGTATGAGAAACACAAAACTGGAATGTGTCCAGTGGAGGGCCACAAGGATGATCAGGGGTCTGGGGCATCTCTCTTAAGAGGAGAGATTGTGGGACCTGGGCCTGTTTAGTCTATAAGCAAAGACTGAAAGGGGATCTCATTGATGCAGGTAAATATCTCAAAGGCGGATGCCAGAAGGATGGTGCCAGACTCTTTTCAGTGGTGCCCAGTGACAGGACAAGAAGCAGCGGCCATAAACTAAAACACAAGAAGTTTCACCTCAACATGAGGAAGAACTTTATGACACGGGTGGTAGAGTACTGAACAGGCTGCCCACGGAGGTTGTAGAGTCTCCCTCTCTGGACACATTCAAAACCCACCTGAACAAGTTCTTGTGTAACCTGCTGTAGGTGGCCCTGTCTTGGCAGGGGTGTTGGACTACATGATCTCCAAAGGCTCCTTCCAACCCTGAGATTCCGTGATGCACCAAATTGGCCAAAAAGCTGACATTACATTTTTGTTCACAGCCTAAATACCAGCATTGCTCTATTTGTTAAGCATGTGGGTTTCTTACCAAAAATGTTTTTCCCTTGCTACCCCATTACAAAACAATCTACTCTCTCCCCTTTAAAAAAAAACAGAGTAACTAACTTCGCATTCCACCCATGTAACTAAAATAGCTACCCTCCTCAATTTGGTGGTAGTCAATTGAAGTAAGAAATAGTACACTTGCAAATAGGTAGATGGCAAGCTTAGGCTGAAGTACTTAGCTGAATACCTAGTCATTAAAAACAAGTTTAAAGAATTCTGCACCCTACTCTAGGAACTCACAAGTACAACAGTTGTGTGAAAAGTATACTCGAATTACTCAGGTGTATTTTGACTTCACTGGTAAAAACTGAGGTTGAAACTGAGATCTGAGAATCACTGACTGATGAAAAGTATGTGGGTTAAACACAATAGCAAAACACATGGAAATACTTGAAGCCACTAACAAATGTATGCTTTTTTTAATTTTACAGACTGATGGAAAAGCTGTCAAGATCCTAAATAAAATCATGCATACTTACGTCTCTCTAATATTTCTGTAATTCCAGCATTATCTGCTTCCAGCTCCATTTTAAATTTAGCAAGCTCCTGGTCCAATTTTCTCAAATGACGGTCTACCTGTTTTTGAGACAAAACAGTAAATAGCATCCAGTTCTGAAACATGGATATCCACATCCTTCATCTCAGATTTGCTAAATATTTCCCTGCCACACAGCACTAAGCACCTACAAAAATGCAGAAGCATAACTTCTCAGTCACCTACAGTTTGCTAACTCAGCAGAGATGCTCAAGTTAACACGAACATACTGCTGCTGATCCTAAACTGTGCAGTCAGTCACGGGATACAGTAAGGCTGGATATTGGCTCAGCAGCTAGAAGCCCTCCTCTTACTATAGGCAATGTTCCAAGACACAGATTGAAGTGTTTCTTGACAAAAAGATTAAAGGACTTGGGGGTGTTGTAGATATGCATATAGAAAGGGAAAGAGAAAGAACAGTTCACAACATGTGCTTAAGCAGACATTGGGCTGCACTGGGGAAACTGCAAAATTACTGAGTTACAATTTGTACACTATTAGACACATCAGTAAACATAAGTACTGAGTAAAAGAGTCTCTAAAATGAAAGTGTAAAGGCTCCTGTGCATTTGAGTAAACTATGACATGTTCTTGGGTACTGAAAATTAACAAAAAATATCTGAACTTAATATCATGGAAAGAAACACTGTGTTCCAAATGCTTCCTTCATCTGTAGTCATACTGCAGAATGTACCTGTCTCTAACCTATTAAAAATTTAACACGTTTTGCAGTTAACAGCTAACCAAAAGACAGGGGATAAGTTCCAACTTTTGGAATAAACTTTTGGTTAGTTGAAGTAAAACTAAAGCAGACAAGAAATATTTGTTTAATGTCTACTATATTTTAGTGCGGTCCTGACTTGCAGGTTCTGTCTTCTGAGGAAATGTAAAATAAATCTACTTAAAATTCAAAATCCACACGCTATAAGGAAGAGTAACTTGCTCATGGCCTCTGTTCAGAAAAGAAATAAACCAAACAAAATCAACGTAATTTCTAAAATTATTTCTGTATGTTTTATATTTAAGTGACACTTACTACCTAAAGCAATAAAATACTTAAAAAGTCAATAAATATTTAATTTTTCTTTCACCAGCAAAAAAATCTGTAATGCAGCTGATCTAACAATACAAGTAGCAGAGTTGTAGTCCTTATCAAAATGTTTATAACTTCTTGGGGACAAGCAGACAATTCACCACTTCTGTCCACTTACCAAATCATATATTTGATTAGCCAGTTGCACTTTCTCATCTGCATCTTCCAAAGCTTTATAATAATCCTGTTTTAAAGAGAGGGTTTTTTTTTTAAATTATGAACATAACTGAATTAATTTCAGTCATTTTAAGGTATTGTCATCCAGCACAATATGTAACTTAAAAGGAGAAATTCACACCAGTTTTCAGAAAGACTGTGAAACTCTACAATGATCAGCTAAGTTTTAGATGACAGATATAATACATATCAGCGTATTGTTTGTGCCTTCGGAAACACCAAACTACAAGATGTGGACACTTCCTCCCACAGTGGCATTTAGATTCCTGTAAGAAAGGCTACAAGAAAAGAAACAGTCTTAGATCTGTTCTATATTACATAGCATAAGCTTACGGACTCAACATGAGATGATGTCTTTGCAGGGAGCACTGCAGATACCACTGCCCTTCACAATGATGCTCAACAGTACCAGTAGTGAAGGCCTTTCCAGCACCATAGTTAAATAGAGATAATGATTTATATATAGTTTAAATTATTTTTAAATATATTTACATAACATATAAGCATATTACAAAATAATTTGACTAAAGCAATCCAATTTTAAAGTCTGCTCTAATTAATGAAAATCCAAGACAAAACTTTTTAGGTATGTTTGCACTATTTTACTCCAGATTTAAACAGGTTTAAGTACCTTCTTATTCTCAATTTCCACTGAGGATGATTTTGTTTAAGAAAAAACTACCTGAAATTTTGGTTCAAATATAATCAAAAGCAAATTCATAATTTACTCTATGGACATCAGAGCCGCCGCCTTTTTTTTTTCTTTAACATAGTAATTTATTTGTAGTAATTAAGAAAAAAACACCCCTTGGCCAAATAAGGGGCTGAAGTGGCAAGTGAAGAGACTACAAAGGATTTTCTCCTGACAAAATTATAGACTAACAATAACAATACCACCCCCAACACCTAACTGTTAAAGGATAAAACAAAACACATTCATCTTTTTATTCTCCCCCCCCCCCCAAAGCTATATGTAATGCATGTATAACACATACAAGGACACAGGCTGAACCACAAGAAATGCTGAAGCTAAGCTTGAAAAACATCATTTAAAAGAAAGCCAATTAATTTACATAACTTCATGTCACACAGGCAGAAACAAAAAGTCTGGGCTGAAAATTTAGTACCTGGTTTCCTCACCATTTCAGGATCACAATTTTAAAAATACTAGCAAATGCAAAAACTAATTTAGAGAAATGCTTGATGAAAGAAACTTTCCAGTCATTTTTCTCCTCCTAGGCAGTTCTATTCATCTCTTTGAAAGCCCACAGGAAGTCACAATTCTGAATGCTTAAGTGTCCATCAATCATAAGCTATGTTTCCTAAGGTTATCTTAGTTTGCAAAAGAAAAATGTGATCCACTCCGGTGATATCCTTACTTTTTTGATTGATGTCATTTGTTCTTCTCGCCATTCAGGTTTGTTTTTCTTTGCGTTCATAAAAAATTCATTTACCCTCTGCTCAAGTTGATCCATTGCATCTGTAGCACAGGAAAAGATTAAGGTAAATGTTACCTTCTCATGTACATAAACGTTATGAAATAAGGCGGAATGTTTTTCTTAAACAAAGTTGACAGGACTGAGGTGCAAGAGAAGGGAAAAAAACCAAAACAAAACCAAAAAACCAAAACAACCAAGTGACAGGGGACAGAGGAGGGAAATACTTACCTTAATTTCCAAGAAGCAGAATTGCATTCTGGTAGGATTCTCATCAAGGTTCTTGTGCTCTCCAGCATGGGACAGGCAGGACTCCAAGTTCTAAAGGTTTTTTGTCCCTAAGAGCAGTGGTAGTGACTTAAAGCATGACCCAAACTCCTCACCCAGGGCTCTAGACTGCTGACTTTGGAACATTCTAGCCAGTTACAAACTGAGCAGGAAACAAAATGTTCTCCTAAGAGAAACAGTCAAATACAAAACCAAATCATTGAAAAAATTAGTGCCTCAAAAAGGTAGAGCAACTTAAAGAGTCAAGTCACCACCTTTACGTCAAGGCCCTCTCCACTGTATGCTAGGAAGGGTGAGGGCAAATTGAAAGCACTCACAAAGTTATTCCCCCCACCCCCCCAAGGTAGCACTAAAGGGTAAATGATTAAACACTCTTTGGACAGGATTCTCACTTACATGAAGTTGAGAAATACCATAAAGGGAAAAAATAAAGCCATAAATTCTCTAACATTAACTATCGTAAGAAAGGAAAATGTCAAATACAAGTTATTTGTTTACTGAGACACGAACAGGGATTCCCTTCCTTTTCCCTCCACCCTACTTTAAAACAAAAATCCTAAACAAAATCAATAAAAACAACCAACCCAAAAGGCAAAAGCACTGAGTTTACTATTTCAACAGCTGGACAATTGTGCATGCAACAGCTTGCATATCTCCAAGAACATGCAGCTGCCTCAGTCAAACTAGCTTTGACGGCCATGCTAGTCTCAGGATAGACAACAGCACTGAATTCTTCACAGCACTTTCAGAAATACTGTCAACACAGCAGTTTCAAATTAAACGTGACAATGCATCAACTACCTACAGACTTTAGGCTCTGGGTATAAAACACTAATACACTTCGCAGAATCCACTGGTAAAACTGGATCTCATGATCGCTGTCATCTAAGTTAAGTTTCTTCAAGAAACTCAGAAATACCCAACTATGATTAATACTTCAAATCCAATGCAGCACAAAGGTTTTCTTACTTTGTGAAAATTCACAACTAGAACTGTTCACATAAATAACAAGAAGATCATTCATACTCAGCTATCAAAAGCATACAACGATTTTCCCTATGCTGAGAATGGAATATCCAGGATCAAAACCAACAGGAACCTAACAACTGACTGGACTGAACAGTTTTAACACAGGCTCACATCAGCTTTATGCAGACCCTGACAAAGAAAGTAGTCAAACAGTTTTGGTGTACAACAGGTTAAAGATGGGTGAACCTGTACAAGAAGCATTTTCTACTTGCACTGTTATTCACAGAGAAGATTAAGAAGCCTGAACATTTGGAGGCTTCCAAAACTTTGCTCTTTACCAAATGACATAAAGCCAACATGCAAAATGTTCTATCTCCTATTCCCAGGGTGCAAACAGGTACGTGCTAATTTAAGTTAATGGTTCCACAGACATGAAAACAAAAAAAAAATCTTCCTTCTTTACTTTTCATTGAGGACAGGTTACCAGACTGTGAAACTGCACACGGGAAAACTTCCACAGAAACTTGGTTTCTCCTGAAGGAACAGAGATGGCACAGGGAGACGCAGTCAGATCTACTGAATTACATGAAAAGTTCTCTCTGACACGCTGAAGTTCCTTCACCTTTTCTCCCCACCACCACCTTTTTAATAAAACTGTGATACTATATTCTGAGATCCTTACTTCTTAGACCAAGATTTCCCTAAAGAGTTGACAGAATTATGAGAGGCCTTTCTCCAGAGCTTGACATTTTACTATGGAGGCCTGATAATCCATTATTTGAACTGAAGCAGAGAAACATATTTTACCCTCCATGAGGAGCTCAGTTAAAGCTCAAGAGTCAAGTCACAACTTGTATGGTCATCACTTTTCCCACAGCAGCCTTATCAGGACATACAGTAGGTACAGCTGGTTTAATATTTCTTTCAACAAGCATCAGCACCTGTCCCATTAGAAGAACATGTGGTCCAAACAGGACAGAATATACAGTCAACATTGACTATAAAACACAGCAGCACAGTTATCTCTGAATTGCAACTCATGTAGGTTTCTGGGACAGCTTCACTCATTGAAGCACTGTTTACAAGTACTTCAGAGACACTGAATCTTCACAGCAAATTACTATGCCACAGCATGATTAACAGCCTCCAGCTTTGCATGCAGCATCCAGCAGGCAGTTTGAGAATTCTTCTTTGGGCCTAGGGTTGGCCTTAGTATACAACAACACTCAGTGTCATCTGCTACTTCCAGAAATACAATATGACATGTTATTTGCCACTTCCAGTTAAAGCAGAGGAAATGATGCTACAGCAACCTTGGTCGTGCTAGCCGACTGAAAGTTCAAATAACCTCTTAGCTTCTTTGCCACCCTCCTGAATAGAGGTAAAATTTGTCAATGTACTCAGAAGTACTCAAGTCAATGAGATGCTCACTCCCTCTCCTGGTGCTCCCTAGCGATAGTTACTTCAGAGGCATCCATTTCCCATAACCATACTCTGCTCCCACAGCTTCAGGCACTGAACCGAAGGCAGCACTTAGCCCATAGTATATGAAAAATTCCTACAGCCATTCAACATGCGTCAGTAAAGTCTGTTAAACAGACCTGCTGGGTCTGATAAAGTAAACGTCCAAGGGAAAGCCTGAGACCACACTTTAAAGTATTATAGGTTAAATTATTGTTTTCAAGAACTATGCTCCCACAGTGCACATTCTGTATTCCCGCTTGGCATCCACTTGTTATTTCAACCTTTGCTCTTTCTCTGTTCTTTACAATAGTCTGACCCTTCTGTATAGATGACTCCTCTGATCTTTAGTGCAGCAAGTTTCATTAACAAACACTTTTACATCACATAAATGAACACATTAATTGTGTGTTAAATGACAGCAACACCTAACTAGGTGTTACAGGACACCCGAGTCCCAGGTAAGACTGCATTAGAAAAGATGAAAAATCAAAGCACCCTGAAAACAGCATGAAGTAGTGTATTGCATTACAGTGGAGATACACAGTGATCTACAAGGACACCTAGAGCAGATAGCATTTGGCTATGTGTCAGCAAGGACACGAGAACCTAAGCAAGAAGCACCTCCACATTAGGAAGTATTGTGAGGGGAGCTGGCTGGAAAAGTTTCAGGGACAGCACGCCGCTACCTGCTGCAGGAGTGGGACATAACTCATGTTCCAAACCACCATCACTGCTCTTAGGGATCAAAAATCTAAAGAGTTTGGGACGTGCCGCCGAAAATGCCTTTGGGAGCCGCACAAGCCCAGGAGCGAATCTCCGGCAAGATCCTATTCGCGCCGACAACCGGCCGCAGCCGCGGGCGGGGGCCGGGGCGGGCCCGAGGCGAGCGGGCGGGTCGGCGGGGCTGGGGCCGAGGCTAGCTCCGCTTGCCAGCACGGCGCCAAACAGCGCGTCCCGCCCCTCGCTGCGTGCCGGCGATTCCCCGCGCAGCGCGGGCCTCCGCAGCGCCGCCTCCCGCCGCCCGCAGCGCCGGTTCGCAGGAGAGGACGCCAGGCGCACCATGCCAACGAGACAGGCGGGGTCCCCTCCTCCCCGGCCTCCTGCACCGGACAGGCGCTGCCGGAAAGCCGGGGTGCAGGGTGGGGAAGTGGCGCGAACGCCCCGGGCCAGCGGCAGAGAGCGGAGCGCCCCTGCGGCAGCGGCGCCTCCTCCTGCCTCCTTCCCCGCCTCTCTTTCCTGCCTTCCTCGCTGGCTCGTTGCTGCCCGCGCCCTGCGGCAGTCGCTCCGTGCCCGCGGCCTTCCCCCGCGGGCGGGGCGGGGAGAGGAGGGGCGGTGTGTGCCGCGGCGGGGAGGGGGCGGTCCGAGGCGCAGGGGCGGGACTCACGTACTCTGCACCTGCAGGTCCATCTCGCGCATCTCGGTGAACCTGTCGCGCAGATCCATGGGAAGCTGCTCGATCACTGCGGGGACAGCGGGAGGGGGGGGGGGGGGGGAGGGGGGAGTCAGTCACTCGCCGCCGTGGGGGAGGGGGCGCCGCCTCATGGCCGCGGCTCCCGCCCCGGTCCCGGTCCCGTTCCACCGGCCGTGCCCGGCCGCCCGGCGCCCCCGTCCCGCACACACTCACTCTCCAGATAGTCCTCCAGATACAGCATGGCGGCAGCTGGGCCCGCGCCAAGGGGCTCCTCGCTAACGGGGGCTCGTCCCTTCCAATATGGCGCCGCCGCCAACAACACCAGCAGCTCGACTCAGCGAAAACAACATTGGCGGCTGACGGCGCTCGCTGCGGCCGCGCCGCGATTGGCTGTCCGCGCGGCTGACGCACACCGTGCCCGCGCTCTGCCGCGCGGCCTCACGGGAAATGTAGTCTCTCTGTGGGGAGGTGGCGGGAAACTACATGTGCCGCCATGCGCTGCGGCGGCCGCGCCCTCTCCGCCTAGTGGGAGGTCCGGGGAGCTCGGCCCCATCCAGACCCGCCTGCGCTGCAGGGCGTTGTCGTTTTGGTCCGTCTGCGGTGTGTGGTTTTTGTCTGGGAGTAGCCTCTCAGTCCCCGCTGACCCCGGCCAGGTTGGACAGGGCGGCTGCCGGAGAGGCCGGGCGACCGGCTGAGAGACCTGCTCGAGCGGAGCGCCGCCAGCCTGGCGCTGTGTGAAGGGAGAAACTTGCAGCGCGTGCACGAGGCTTCGTGCTTGGTTTCCATCCGTTACGTTAAACGGTAGTTGCTGGTAATAGTGCGTCAAAAGCTGAAGGGATGGCAGAACTAATGAAATCGTCGTTATTTTCCTGTGAGGGTAGTGAGGCGGTGACACAGGTTGCCCAGAGAAGCTGTGGCTTGTCCCATTCCTGGCAGTGTTCACGCCAGGTTGGACGGAGCTTTGGGCAGTCTGGTTTGGTGGAAGATGGCCCTGTCCGTGGCAGGGGTTTGGAGCTAGATGAGGTTTAAGGTCCCTTCCAATCCAAACCATTTTATGATTCTCTGATTTCTGTGTCTTCTCATGAGTGACCTGAGGTGAAACAAGCTCCTGTGTTCACAGTGCATCAGTAACACAGGTAGTGACAACACCACAGGCATGCAAGAGCACACACTTCTGTGGGCTTTAGCACTGCTGCTCAAAGTAGAAAAAATAATTAGCAGATAGTAGTAGCTGCAGTTTAATTACAACAGCTCTTGCTTATAGCCTTACTTATTATAAGATCTTACTTGATTGAGATTGAGATTTAGATTTTTCATGCAGTTTCAGTCCCCCCAAGGGTTATTTCATCATTGTTTTATCACTGTAATTACTGCTCTAATCATGGATTGGTGCTTTTACTAATTTTTTCACTGGGGGAAGGAATTTTTTGGGGCTTACATGATATCAGGTGTAGGTACAGAAGAATAAGCATTGTGGTAGCAGAACAGGCTGGTTTTCTGCCATGCTGTCGATCTACTTTTCAGCTTCCCATATGTGTCCAAGCAAGGAAGAAGAGTGTATGCTGAAGCCAAGACTGAGTAAAAACCTGCGTGGGATGGTTTTGAGTGCCAGGACCAATGGAAAACAGCATTCTTTACTCATGTTTTAAGCTCATATAGGGTGAGTAGTTAAGGATGACTAAATTTGGGGCAGTGAAGTGTAAATTTTGTGTGTACCCTTTATGAAGAACGATGTTAGCCGTGTCTTGAACATAAAGGGTATAGCTAAGCTTTTTTTTTTTTTTTTAATTCCTATCTCATTACAGATCAAGGGAAAAAAAAAGGTATATCAGTAACTATCAATGTCACAAAAAAAGTGCTGTGCCAAAGTGGTCACTTTCCATACTCATTCCGTCATTGGCCATGTAATCTGTGCTGTGGAAACAGAAATATCATCTAGTTTCATACGCACCAATGAGCAGTTTCTAGATGGTCATTAAGCTCACTTGTAAGAATCTGTATATTATTGCTCCTATAGATTGCTTTTTAATGTATGCTCGTACAGATCACTTTTGGTAATGTACTTTTGATACACAGGAGTAGGAATGAGAAAGTTTTTTGAAGTTTTGTGTGAGAAATTGCTTGGTCTCATTTTGGTATGTAGAAGTCAAGACTGACCCTTCCTGGGAAGACAAACGCCTGAATTTTTATTTAAGTGAAAGGGTTTCATGCAACAAGAGAATTTAGACTATGCAAAAGCACAGCAAAGTCCTGACATCCTGTATTCATCAGGAGAAAAGATAGGTGAGTTTAGGGAAATCTGAATTGATGGGGTCACTTTCATTTTTGCTTAGTAGTGGCTTTAATATTGGTCGCTTGGTTTTTTGGTTTGTTTGTGGTTTTTTTTTAATTGTCATAGACATGTTTGGGAGCACATTTCATGCAGCAGAATAAGAAAATATTGCACACAAATACAGTGCAAAGACTCCACTGTCAGAACCACAACTGAAACACAGGCATAAAGTTCTTACCATTTGCTTCATAACCACAATCCTAGGACAACCAGGACATTGAGACCTTGTGAGTTCGTGCTCCCAGTTTTCATGTCTGAGTTTGCCACATTGATCTTTGCAAGCATGGGAATAGCCACCAAAATCCTCATGGAGGGCTATTGTGCAAGGCATTTTGATCTAGTTCCTCTTCTGTTGTGGTTCCCAGATCAAGTAAACCAAGAAACACAGCTCCTGGGCCTGTGTCTTGGTCATTACCTTTAGTAGCTAGCAACATATGTACTGTCTGCACCAGTGAAAAGAGCAAATGGAACTTGGGCATGCCAACAGAATGACAAAGACAAAATGCTAGTGAGGCTGGCTGGTGTCTTCAGGGTATGAGTGCCTTTATGTTTCATGGTTTATTTGAACATCTGAGAGGCTTTTATGAAAATAGGAACCTGCTTCAAAAATTGTTCACTGTAGTGGTTTACAGCAGGGGGTGGGAGGGGATTATGTAGTAGAATACAAATGAAAATTAATTCAACTTTGTTCAGTATCTGTTGAAAAGCAAAGAGAAACTTACTTATCTACCTGTAGTCCTCTTTATTTTCGTTTTTTTCAAGACAAGTGGAGCAACTGTCACATGATTCTGCCAATGATAATTCATATTGTATAGTCAAATGATTAGCCACACCAGCTTCATAGAATCATAGAATAGTTAGGGTTGGAAAAGACCTTAAGAATATCTAGTTCCACCCCCCCTGCCATGGGCAGGGATGCTTCACATTAGACCATGCCACCCAAGGCTCTGTCGGACCTGGTCTTGAACACCACCAGGGATGGAGCCTTCACAACTTCCCTGGGCAACCCATTCCAGTGCCTCACCACCCTTACAGTAAAGAACTTCTTCCTTATATCCAATCTAAACTTCCCCTGTTTAAATTTTAACCCCCTACCCCATGTCCTGTCACTACAGTCTCTAATGAATAGTCCATCCCCGGCATTCCTATAGGTTCCCTTCAGATGCTGGAAGGCTGCTATGAGGTCTCCACGCAGCTTCTCTTCTCCAGGTTGAACAGCCCCAACTTTCTCAGCCTGTCTTCATACAGGAGCTGCACCAGTCCCCTGATCATCCTCGTGACCCTCCTCTGGAGTTGTTCCAACAGTTCCGTGTCCTTTTTATGTTGAGGACACCAGAACTGCACACAATACCCCAAGGGAGGTCTCACAAGAGCAGAGTAGAGGGGCAGGATCACCTCCTTCGACCTGCTGGTCATGCTCCTTTTGATGCAGCCCAGGATGCGGTTGGCTTTCTGGGCTGTGAGCACACACTGAAGCTGGCTCATGTTCATTTTCTCATCGAAAAGTGGGATTGTGTGTGTAAGTGCTGCTTATCATGGTATGCTGTGGGAACTAAGTTTAAACTGGCATCATCCACTCAGACCATTAAAAAGAAGCTGTTTTTACAATGGAAAAATGCCTGTTGTGTATAAATGTAAAGAATTAACTCTATTGATTAACTAAAATTTTAGAACAGTCTAATTGGAACAGTGCCTGATAAGGAAACATGGATTGATTACAGTGTTTATTGGGATACAAATACAGTGAAAAAGAACTAAACACCAACCGTGAACTCAAGCTAAAAAGGAATTCATTTTGTGAATCAGAATCATTGCACAAAAAAATTCCATATGACAACAGAAGTGCTTAGCACAGAGAAAGGAAGGGAGGCCACAGGAGCTTGTGTTTTCTTCTCTTGATGTAACATTATTAATGTTGATGGCATTTCTCCAGCAAATGTTTCACGTAAATCATCTGTCATCACTTGTAACAGAATGGTGGCATAAAGGAGTATTGCAGTTGCCCTGTGATCTACCTAAAGGTAATTGCTTGCATAGGTTTTTATATTTGTCAACTGACAAGGAAAAAAATGATTAAAAACATGGATTTATGTTCTGATGTACACTTCTCAGATGGAGTTAAAA